CCCCAGCCCGCCTGCATTGTTCTGTAGGTGGTTTGTCCAAAGTGAGAATCCCTGGAGTGTTTCAGTCAGCTTTTTCCCTGCTGTGACTAAAAGACCTGACAGGGACAATTTTAGAGGAGGAAAAGTTTATTTAAGGACTCACAGTTTCAGAGGACTCTGTCCATAGATAACTGGCTTTGTTTCTTGGGGTTTAAGATGGCAGAATATCAATGTGGCAGAGAGAAACAGCTCACATGATGATCAGGCAGGGGAGAGAGAGAAAGAGAGCAAGAGACCATTTGCTGGATACAAAATATATACCCTAAAGGCATACCCCCACTCACTCACCACCTCCAGCCACACTCTACCTACTTTACGTTACCACTCAATTAATCCAGTCCGGGGATGAATTCAATGATAGGGTTACGACTCTTAAAACCCAATCATTGCTCCTCTAAATATTCTTGCATTGTCTCACACATGAGCTTTTGGGGGACACTGGAGAGACTGAGAAACCAAGAAGGTAGCCTTTGTAGATGCAGCTAAAGAATCTCTATTTAAAGCCAAAGTCTCAGGAAACTGATGGAAGCTTAAAGTTCAGACCTGGAATTAGGCAAGAAAAAGACCATAATACCCCTTTTATCTAACAACAATGACCTTAGTATTATTCTTCAGCTAGAACCCATTTAGAAGACAAAAGTGACATGAAGCTTCAGAACATTTCTGGGCACCCCAGTGCAGCATAATTTTCTTCAGGGTGGCACAACAGTTGGAAGCAGTTTGTTGAGGCTTACAGCTCTGCAGCCAGGACAATGGTGGCCTCCTTTTGCAAGACACAAAGTCTGTGGATGCGCACGTAATCGATTTTCCCTCTGTTCCCAAAACCACATTTCAAAACTGACATATAACAGTCTTTCTGGTGAAATAATTGACAAACAGACCAAAATGAAGGTGACATCACAACTAAAAATTCCTTTTCTGTTTAGAAAGATATATTTCCAAATATTTGAAGTGTTAATCTCTGGGTGATGGGATCATAAATGGTTTTTTCTCTTTATATTTCCCATGGTTTAGATTTTTTACAATAGTTCTGTATTAGTCCTTATTCCACTTAGAACAACAGTTAGTTATTAATGTAGATGTTGAAGGCTTTCAGAATATCATTCTATGATTTCATCCTAAGAAGAAAAAAAAAGCAGTCGATCCATAAGAATATGAAGCTGTCTTCTAATATTTTGTTTTTGGAAGGCTTATGTTTATGTTTTCTTTAACGGGCAAGTACCAGTGTGACAGAGTGAGCTACTCCTGTGGGGAAACTAGACAGAAAACAGGGAAAAAAGATGTGTATGGAGGATCTCAGGAGAGGAGAGCAAAAGGCCTGGGGGAGGGAGTATTGCAGGCGAGAGACACTGAGGGGTGGTACTGACCAAATTATATTCTTATATTTTGTGCATGGAGAAATATGCAACAATAAATCTCATTTTTTAAAAAAGTGGAATGAGTTATGTTTGAAGACTATGGAAAACATCTCTCAAATTAGGCAAAATAATCACCTAAGATTATAAAATGGTATTTTGATTCTAAGACAAAATTTGTCACAATCTAACATCTTTGAATTTAGAATGCATATTTTAAGTTTTATCGAGATATCATTCATACACTATAAAAGTGCCCCTTTTAAGTGTACAGTGGTTTTTAGTACATTCACATAGTTGTACAACCACACAAAAGCTTAGAACATTATCATTACCCCCCAAATAAACTCTGTACTTAACACTACTCATTTCTTATTCCTCTTTCCTTAACCCGTGTCAATCACTAATCTTACTTTTTTTCCTCCATGCATTTCCCTACTTCTGACATACACAGTGTGGCCTTTTGAATCTGTTTTCTTGCATTAAGTGTTTTTGAGGTTTATCTATGTTGTAGTATGTACTGGTACTTCATTTTTATAGCCAAATATTATTTCTATGGATATACTACATTTGGTAATCTATTCCTCAGTTGATTAGTTTTCACTGTTTTGCTCTCATGAATGCTATGAATACTTGTGTTCATGTTTTTGTGTAAATGTTCTCAATTCTCTTGGGTATATGCCAAGGAGTGGAACTGATGGATCACATAACTGCATATTTTACCTTCTGAGGAACTGCCAAATTGTTTGTTCCAAAGCAGCTGCATCATTTTACCATCCCAGGTGTTTGGGGGTTCTAATATTCCAGCTTCTTTGCCAACATTTGTTATTGTTTCCTTTTTATTTTAGTCATCTTGATATCAAATGGCATTGTATTGTTTTAATTTGCATTTCCCTGATGGCTAATGATGTTGAACATGTTTTCATGGGCTCACTGGCCATTAGTGTATCTTCTTTGTAAAAAGTCTATTGAAATACTTGACCATTATTTAATGGAGTTGTATTTTTAGCTAATGAATTTTAAGAGTTTTTTCACATTCTGGACATAGGTTCCTTGCCAATCTGAGCTTCACATATTTAAATATTTTCTTTTTTTTACGAATTTTTTACTTTCTTAATAATGTACAAAACTTAAAATTCTGGTTGCCCAATTTACCTCCTTTTTCATTTTGTTGTGTTTTCTTGGTGTAGAATCTTAAGAAATCATTGACTAAGGTCACAAGGTTTCCCCTCCACACACACCCCGTTCCTCCTAAGAGCTCTATAGCTGTAGCTCTGTGATCCACTTAGGGTCAATGGTAGGGGTCCAACTTCATTCTTTAGTATGTGGATATCCAGTTGTCTTAGCTCCATTTGTTAACAGCCCCCCACCGTACACAGTTTTGGTGCCTTGCTGAATGGGATGTATCTTATAATTATAACTGGATGTGTTTTTCTATAGTAACACATCTTATAATTCATAGCATCTTAGATTTGATAAAAGTATGGAACACTTACCTTTTTAAATAAAAACCTTATTATATAAGTGCATTTTTTTGGGGAAATAAAAATCTATTTCCCTCAATAATACTAAGAATCATTGAATATCAATGGGATGAGGAAAAAACCTGTCATACATGCATATATTTTCTTAAGACAGAAACACCATCTTAAGGCTTGAAGGCTTTAATACAATCCTTATTATGTTAAAAATGAAGAGAGACCGTTACAAAAGCAGTAACATGACTATAATGACCTTGAAGAAAATTAATTCTATCATCCAGGTTAAATTTTCCTAGAAATTAGATTTATTTGACAGTGATAAAATGTCCTAAGAAACGATAATATAAGCACCAACTTTAATAAATTTTTGATTTTCAGAACCTAGATTTAAATATGTATTGTGCAGAGTATAAAACAATTAATAATAAACTCAACTATCTGGGATTAACTGGGAAGTTTGAGAAATGCAGAAATCAAACCTACATTTGTATCTTCCTCCTACTGTCCTGATGAATGTCCTGATGAACCCAATGACAACCAGAGTCTGAAGACAAATGACTCACAAACATAGTGAGATCTGTTTAATAGTTTTTGAAGATTTTTCCTGTAAAATGGCTTGTATTTCCACAGGTACAATAGTGAAGAAATAAACTTTTTAATTTGACATGAAATATAAAAGAACAATTTTACAAATATATTCATAAAATTTAACTGCTCATAACACTATACATGGTAAATATGACCACCCCCTTAACTTCTAGACTATTCAGTACAGAGAAGCAATCTGCCATCTTAGCTAAAAATGAAACACTTCCCTTTCATTGAGTTTATTTTTTGTTTGCTTAGAAACATGTTAAGAAATGGTTACGTACAACTGGAAAAATATTTGCCCCCATCCTCGTTTAGGGGTTCTTCACGAGGGTGAAAATTTATTTGAAAGGGTGTAAGTTTTATTAAAAAGAAAATACTGAACCTTCTTTTGTTTTACTGCTTCAGCAATGCTTTTAAAAAGACATTCTTTTAAAAAGACCCTGAAGTTGTCTCATTGACCTTTGGGTCATAAATGACAACAGAGTGGTGTTCTCTGTCCACAGCTGCAGGAAGAACTTCATTCTCTTGCCCCACAAAGGCTAAACTATGGGGACATAAGAGTAACATACAAGGGAATGGACCTGCGTCTGGCTTAAAATCAAAATCTCATGCTTTTTTTTTTCTATCAGAAATGCCACTGTTATGTGGCAAGATCACATGACATTAGCAGGTGTTCATCCAGCACAATGAATGGTGTGACCACACCTCCTGTGCACATCCAAAGGACAGAATGGCTTTCAAAAAGAAAAGAAGTGGAGCAAAATCCAAGAATTGCAGGTAACAATTCTATAACATATAGTACATATAAATTAAGTAGAAAATGTGCTCCTTAAACTCTCAAAAGTGCCCAAATAACAATACTGAGCTCCCAAATAACAAAGGTTTGAGATTTTTCTATGTCAGCAAAAACAAAAGGCATTGAAGCTTTAGGAAGAGTTCACCTCAACTTTCCTAATACAGTATATATAATAACTTAAAATGATTTTCCTATTGGTACTGGAAAATAAATTCTACTACAATCATGTTTATGCCAGTTCCTGGCACATTTCTGCATCCAGATTCATTAGTCTCCTTAATGGAGCCCATCAGTTTTCCAATGGCTTTCTCCTTTCCTTAAACCCTAACCCTGAAATTCTATAACCAGTTATATCACGTGGCTTCCCTGAGGCACAAAGGTACCAAACTCTAATTAACTATTGAGGAATGATAAATATGTTCTCTATTTATATTAAAAGATTTTTAATTCTTTTGGGCCATAGTTGGGGCAAAAAAAATCCACCAGAAAGCTTAATACTCTGCAGTGTGACCTATAGCCCTTTTTGCAAAAAGCTGAACCAAATAAGGGAAATGTTGGGAGTTGCAGCATGCATGACCCGGCAGCACCGATTATTAATAAAAAATTTCAGTCTAGAAAAATACTCAGAGTTGTACCCCATCCACTCTGAATCCTTTTTTTTTTTTTGTAGTAAACTGACATAAACAACTGAAAAGAAAAATATCTATGGAAATACATCACTGGAGTTTTGCTTCTGGAAACCTATTTGAAAAAGGCATCTCGGTTAGGCTGAGACCGGGACAATTGGATTCCTTATGTGTACAAGTGGTTGAGTGGGGCATAAAAGCCAGACATAAAAGCAAGAAGTGACTTTGGAGACATGACCTTTACTCAACTGTATTACTCTACTTTGGTGAGCTGGAGTTTTTTATTTTCACAAACTAAGTTGCTTTCAAGTCTTCAAAAAAAATATCTCAATAGTCAAAATTATAAGGGAATCTTACATGAGTAGCTTAGGTGAGTGTGGTTTCCTTTTACAGATGTGCCACCTCTCTGAGGTTCCTTAGACAGGGTGGGAGAGGACCTCATTTGGAAGCCAAAGGAAAAGATGTGTAGCCATAGCAGGTGGCACTCTCACCCCTTCCAAGAGCTTGGAATTTACTGCCCAAATTTCAACTTGCACTTGAGTTTAGTAAAAGTCAGAAACTTCAGATGGTAACCTTACTTTTGGGCATATATCACATGCAGAAGTACTAGATTTATAAATAGTCCTTGATGTGGAAAATTATGATATCAAAGCATAATTTTGTAGAAAAAAAAGTTGTGTTTCTTTTGGTAGGTGAAAATCAGCCTTTCTGGGTACAAGACCATTTACCTTACAAGATGATCCTGGAGTATCAAGAACCCTCAAACCACTCTCTAGCTATAAAACAAGAAAAGGGACAAGTACCTCCTTTATCATTCTTCAGAGCCCATAGACTCATAGGCTGAAAAGACAACTCTATCAACAAAGCTAGTCATCAGAGATTCTGGCTAGATCAGATGGCACTTAATACACTATTCTAGGCAATTTCATCTTTTCCTTTCATTTTCTGTCTGCAGGTAGAGTAAGATATACAGAATAGAGGAAGCTACTAATAAGAAAACTGCTGTAGGATTTTTACATCACTTAAAAATTACCAAAAGAAAACCCAAAACAAAAATACCTCATCCTCAACAATGATCTCCGTTGAAAAATAAAGCTATTTTAAAACTGACAGGCTGAACTTTAAAAATATTAAGTCAAATTAAGCAGCAGCAATTAAGAGTAATAAATCTTATCACTTTAAGGAAAAGAGTATTCAAATAGGTTAGAATGACGGGAAATAGGCAAACTATTTGCCAATAGGCAAAATATGGAAAAACCAATTCAAGTATGAATATAGTACATTAGAATCATATAAATTACATATATTTACAAAGGTTAGAAAATGTAAATCAAATCTTTGATGGTCCATGTATGAGGATGTTAGTTTAAATGAATGCTTGCTCCACGAGCAGGGGCCTGTATTAGCTACAGATTCTCTGCATTCTGGGAGCAGTGATACTCTGGTACCAAGCACAGAGAATGAGCATCCAAGAATTATTAATCAAAATGAAATGAAACTAACAGAGAGGGATGGTGGAGCTCATATGAAATTCTGATTTAATTATTCCTCAGTAAACACTCATTTGCTCTCAAAAATCAGAAATTTCAAATTATCTCTGCAGATGTACCACTTGGTTTTGTGTATATCTAATGATCACATTTAAATTTAGTTTGATTTGCAAACATTTTCAAAACTTAAAGGGCTCCTTTCACAGCAAGGGAAGGTGACAGATGGTGGAAAGCGACTGAACAAAAATGACTGTATCATTGTGATTTGTTGCTTTTAGGCTCATAGAATTTTGGCTTTCTTAAGGAGGAAGAAGAAGAAGAAACCCTATAAAACCCCAACAAGTGGTTTTAAAAAGTGTATTTTTAATCACTCTTAAATCTTGAATAATTCAATATGCAGATAAAGTTGGTATTATAGTACCTAGGCCATGACTACTGCTGTAATAGTCACCCTCCATTAAAGAACTTTTAAGAGCTGCTGTTTTTTAATCAAACAGTCCTGGCCATATAAGATGAAGGTAAGGGACAAACCACATCAGGCAGAAGTAACAAAAGGCATACTAAGAAATTATGGAAAAATTTTTTGTTTGAAATGCCAAGTATTTGATGAGTGACTATGTAAGTGAATTCCACTGAAGTTAAAAAAAATCCCACAATATATGAATATTGTCCTTCTAAGAGAGTCAGAAAAATAAATTAGAAAAATGCCCCGGATTTCGAAACAAGCCCCTATGCCTAAGGTCTCCCGTTCACCAGTCCTGTGCAAAGCGCTACCCTAGCCACGTCAGGCACTCCAGACACCGTACATGTTTTGGGTAACACCATCCCACACAGCACCGAGGGCTGCACGTTTACAGTGACTTTCAAATAAATTTCTTCTATATTGTAAAATCTTGTCCAAGTTTACAAAGGAAAAAAAAACTTGGTTAAAAGCCCAAGGTTAAAAATAAAAGCATGGCAGTTGAAATCCAATTATTACACAGATATTATGGTTTAATCAAGCAGACTTCAATGACGATGCTGCTGTTTTGAGCATGCAACATATCTGTTCAACTCCTGCCATGTTTCATCACTGTGTCCCCCCTTTTTTCCCAGTCTCAGTCCACCCTCTCCCTAATAACAGCATTACAAAAAGGTAGAATTCTAGTTAGTGGCAAAATCTTCACAGTAACTTGTTAATAGTAGATGGCTGTCAAGGGCATCAGTCAACTGGACCTTGGAAAATCAATTTAATGCAGTTTTGCTCCCCAACCAGCTGTGTGGCACAGAAAGGGCAGGCAGCATGAAATGCGTGAGTTCCATGAGGCAGAGGAATCTGAGACCAATATTTTGCAGACTTTTCTGAGCACACATGTCCACAGGGGGTGAAAGCGTGAGTCGGTGGTCCTGCATCTACGTAAAATCCTGCCTCACAGCCAAGCCAGAGAGGTACGTAGGGGCCCACAGTCCTACACATGGGACACTCCCTCTCGTTGGCCTCTGTGTCGCTCCGATGGCCCCAGTTGTGGTACCCGTGCACATGGCCACAGCTGAGATATGCCCAGGGCTGCTTCTCTTCTACCACTTCTTTCCTGTTGATGCTGGGGAAGACCAGGGTGTTGAGCCCCACAGGGCACTGGGGTCGAGCAGCATTGATCTCCTGCCGGAGAGCCTCGATGTGTTTCTGAGTCGGGGTGTGGAAAAGACCGTCTGCTGTTCTCCACAGAAGAGTGGCTCCACACAGGTCAATGAGGGAGCCATCCTGCAGGACGTTAGTCTCACTTTCCACCTACAATGGGTTTGACAGACATGCCTTTTAAAAGCAAAATCCTGAAAACCATGGAGAAAATCACTCTGACTTTTCTCTCAAAATAAATAGAAAACCAGTTTTGAAGAAGACCCAGGGAGGAAATTTATCTCACTTCAAACAGGACTAGGGGAGTAACCTACCCTCCCTGAGCTTCAGTTTTCTCATTTAAATATTAGACAATGCATATGTCCAGGATGCAAAGCCTTGAGCACAAAACACCTAGGTTCAGTTAATACAGCGGTTATTTTAATGAACTTCACAAATCTCTTTAAATTGAAAAAATAATTATTTTTTTTGGTGCTACTGGGGATTGAAGGGCCTCACATATGCTAGGCAAGTGCTCTACCACTGACCTATATCCCTAGCACTTCTTTTTATTTTCATTTTTGAGGCAATGTCTTGCTAAACTGCCCAGGCTAGCCTTGAACTTGTGACCCTTCTGCCTCAGCCTCCTGAGTTTTTGGGATTAAAGGCATTTACCACCATGCTCAGCTTAGACTCTTATTTTTTACTCCTTAAGTCGATAATATAATTAGTCATTGATCTCATTAAAGGACAGAGATGTCCCACCAGTACAAGTGGAAAAGACTCATACTCATTTAGACCAGAGCCAATGCAGAAGATCCTTTGGGGCTGAAATCATTACTGAAGTGTCTGACACTCTCCTGGCGACATTTAGCTTCCCACATACCTTGAATCTGTCCTTCATCCTCGTTTCTAAGGACCAAGCTGAAGCTTTCACTATGAGCCTTTGTTTTCAAAGGATGTCTGTGCTGTGTACCAAGTGCTTACAAGATTGATGACCAGCTGACAGCAGCACTGTTGGACATGGTCAGCAGGAGTCTGACCTCTGCCTCCTTGTGCCAGATAATGCTAAGCTCTGAGGGCACCAAAATCAAGAAGAGTCCTCTTCTTCAGTGGGAAGCAGACATTCCTAGACCCAGGAGAGTAAGGGCCAGTCAAAAGCCATGAGGCCACAGCCTCACTGTGGCTCAGACTGTGACTCTAGAGCCTACGACTTGGGTTTGAGCCTGACTCTGTCACCTAGCAGTTGTATAACGCTGGGTAGGTTACTGAAGCACCCTATCCCTTAGTTTCTTTGTAAAACTTAGAAAAGGCGATCGTGAGGGTTAAATAAGTTAATACAAATAAAGTTCCTAGGATAAGGTTTGGCAAGCAGTAAATACTACATAAACAGTTGCTGCTGTTACTTTAATGAAGTTAGAAGGCGAGCAATGGTTTTTAAAAGTGTTTTCCTTGAACAGAGATTTGAGCAAGACATCAGGAGTCAGGAGGTGGGCTACAAGGAAGGCACACGTGCAGGAAGCACAAGAATGCTCAGCAGAAAGTACTGAGGGAACAACAGTTAACCTGGGGTCAAAGCCAGGTGACCAGGCTGGGACTTTGGAACGACTGGGCCAGGCTGAAGAGCTGGCTGGTCTTGTACGCCTGAGGGAATCAGAGGAGGTTTAGGCGGCCTTGTAAAAATCGGTTTGCATGTTTGAAAGATGGTGGAGGGGTCTCAGAGGAGAGGAGGTAGAGTCAGCTAGGGTGGGTTCTTTTTCTAGGCAAAGAGGATGAATGCGCCTCAACCAAGAATACCATGGGGCAATAGCTAAGAGGCACAGGGAATGGATGTTCAAGTATAAAATCTAAGAGCTGTGAACTCCTGATTTGAGGAAGATGTCTACAGTTTAACACAGATCTATGCATTACTTACAGGGACTAATTTCAAAATTAGTCTGTCTTTAGTACAACCCACCTATCAACAGAAACCATTTTTGGAGTGGCTTCTTTTCAGCAGCATTGACAAAATTTCCTGGCATACACAGTTACCTAAACTACGTTATAAGGACCAGAGTGGATAAGGAACACTCTGTGGCATGCCCTCCTGACCTAAGGAGCTCTCTGTGGAGTCCAGGATGTGCTTTCTAATCACCAGGAGGCAAATGCTCTGTGCAAAACCTCTTGGTGAGAGTTAAGTGTGGCTTCCCAAGGGATTGTACTGAGTGGCAGTTAGGACCACAGACTCTCAGCCAGGAGGAGCTGAATTTAAACCCTGTCTATAGCCACCTCTGAATCTTGTGATGCTGGGAAGCATTTAACTTATCCATGCCAAATGTTCCTTAGCCAGAAAATGGACTGATTCTTCTTTCCTTAGAGAGCTGTGGTACAGGGTAAATGAGCTGAAGTCTGAAGTGTTGACATAATGCCAGCACCCAATAACCACTTGCTGCTTATCTAGGTCAGTCTTATATAAAACTACCAGATAACCAGAAAAAAAAAAGGTTTTTCAAAAAACTGCATTCATATTACCTTTCCTATTTATAATTTCTTGGAAAGTATTTAACAAAACTTATTGAATTGGTTGGCTTTTTCTAGGAAAATGCTTTTCATATGCATTCAGCCATGATGCTCCAAGACTAGGCTTTACTATAGATGCAGACGCTGTGCCAATGGCTAAACTATGGTGTGAAATAGAAATAACAGCAACAACTCTGCTATTGGAGAGAACAGCAAACCAGGTCTACAAAAGAATCCCGTCTTCTCTATAATAGAAATATTTGATTATCATTTTTCTCCCTGCAAAATGCTAGCTCACATCCTCCATTCTCTATATTTTTCTAAGGGAATCTTGAAGAACTTCCTCTTCTCTAGCATCTAGAAAAGGCATTTGTTTCCTCTTGCTCCAACTTAACAATTAACTGAAGTCCAAACTGTGAAGTGTACTAAGAACTATTTGGAAGCTGTGCCACAAACTTTTGGCAAGATCAGAAACCAAAAGCTTCCCATTTAAGGTATTATAATTAATCTCCAGAGAAGAAACGGCTCCAAACCAACTGCTCTAGGGCCTGACTCTAAGTGGTGAGAACTGCAGGAAAGCATTAACAAGCCAGGTCAATACAGTATATGAATCATCAAGTAAAAAGCTGTAACTATGACTTTGGAAAAAAATAAAAATAGCAAATTCTATATTCATTTCTTACTATGAACTTAAGGGGAAAAAAGCAAACTTAATTGATTCTTAGTTCTGGAAAGTCTGTATCATTCTTTAATTAAAAAATGTCACCAGCTTGTCCTGGATTACTCAGGATTTTTGCAAATCAGTAAAGCTTTACTCTTAATGTAAGTTCATTTTCCTTAGAGTGGATTTAAGTAGAATTTTGTAGTGTGGTAGGTAATAAATGATTATGCTCTTAAGATACTAAGGAGCAAAAGGTAAGTTATGGCCACTATGAACGGGTTTAAATATTAACACAAGGACGGCCATGTCCCTCTAACTTTCGGAACTTAAGAATTCTCATTTTCGTGGGTCAGGGGGCTTGGCACTTAGACCTGTACAAAGGTTTTCTGAGCTTCAGGGGAGTGGAAAATGACGGTCCAAAGTGAGTTTCCGTAGTTTGGTATGTGTCCCAGAGCAAGACCCACTTACCAGCTTTCCCCTTTGCTGGGCTGACCTGGTTTCTCTCAAGGTGTACACATCTCCACAGACAGAGATCTCACGCCAGACCCCAGGCTGAGACTCCTCAGTGAAGCCCCCCCTGGGATGCATCACCAGGACACCATTTGTAGTGAGCCCATCCATGTGGCCATCAGGGTTTTTCCACTTTGCTGCTTTTTCCTGGAGAGTACATCACAGACCATAAAAAAATACGCTAAGGTAACATTCAAAATGAGGGAATTGGGGAGTCTCTTTAAGAAATACTAGGTAGGGGTACAGGGGAGCTACTTAAAGCTAATAATAATAGGATAAAATATGCAATATTCTGACAATATGAAAGATGTGGTAAAATAGATAAATTATTTATCACTAGATATACATTATATACACTTCAGGAGCTTAAGAAAAATCCCTGATGCCTGAGCTTCTCCATCAGATTCCCCCCTACCCTGCATGAATCCAAGAATCTGTTTTCTTTCTTCGGTTGCACTTGTGCCGTGCTTTTATCCTATTTCCTAAAAATACTTTACATGCATTCATTATTTGGATATCGAAAGAAGGATAGTCAAGAAAAAAATGACTTTATTAAAGGTACAAAATTTCAAAAAACAATAAGCCAACAAAAAGTGGCCATTTTGTCTTCTTACAAATCAGCATTTATATACCCAAAGGCAGAAGGCATAAGTGGCAGGACAGACACTCTTGGTTGCCTGTGCCACTGAATTCCCCTCTTCTTTTCTTTTTCCTATCCTGCAAAATAATATTGATTTGAGAGGGAAGTATATTAAAACTGATCATTCAATAAAATTTTGGGGGCTCATTTATAAGGAAACTTATAAAGGCATGGACTTTTTAATTCTCGGTGAGACCATATAATTCAGTATGGAACACAGAAAACACTTAGGAAAACATTTATGAGTGAATGAATAACTCACTAACATTTTCCTTGGACTGTAATTATCTAGATTTGGCTACTTTTTTCCTCCTGAAATAAATCTCTTAAATCCACCATAAATACATATGCATAATGGTACTATATACACTTTAAAAAGTAGTTAATGTACGTATTATAGTTGACAGAGCAAACATAACAAATAACAAGCAATGACTGTTGTTTGTTTAATCTTTGGATATAGGAAAAAGAATAATCATGAAAAAATGACTTTATTAAAGGTACAAAATTTCAAAATATATTAAGCTAACAAGCCGTAGCCATTTTGTTTTCTTACAAAACACTATTAATCATCTAATCATTGATTAGAGATTTTTTCTGGTACTGGTGATTGAAACCAGAGGATCTTCACCACTAAGTCACATCCCCAACCCTTTTTATTTTTTTATTTTGAGACAGGGTCTCCCTAAGTTGCTTAGGGCTTCGCTAAATTACTGAGGCTAGACTTGAACTTGTGAACTTCCTGTCTAAGCCACTGGAGCCAGATTAAATGATTTTTAAAAACAGTTTTTCAAACTGGCCACCTGAAAACTAAAATCTCAAAATCTAACTGGAAGCATCACAAGCAAATTTTTGGTCTCCATTAAATGTTCTATATCTAATAATGAGTATTTTTCCTGAAATTTGTAGTTATTACTCATACTTACTCCAAGAAATATGTTTTTGGAAGAGTCAAAGCCAGCTGCAAATATCCGCGCCGTATAAGGTTCATTTCTGTCACACACAATCCTGCAAGCAAACCTTGATATGGTGCTTTGAGTGATCTGGGCTTCATCATTGTTCTGACCACCAGAAATGGTGTCTGTGACCACGAAGTCAATAGGGCTTTCTGTTGATCTGCCCACCTGAGTGAATCAAACACACTCATGATTTGCTTAAAAGTCAGGTTACCATACTTTCTTCACATGTGATGGGTGTTCAGAAGCCCTTCAACATTCATTATCTCTGCCCTGAGGATCGGAATTTAGTAAAAAACTTTCAGTTGTGTTCTTTTTCCTATTTAACTAAGGGAAAGAAATTATGGTACCCCATCTCTAGATTTTTAAAAAACTTTATCAATTTTATTTTATCGTGGTAAGAAAACTTAATATCAGATCTACCCTTACCACATATTTGAATGCACAATACTGGAATTGTTGTACACAGGCACACATATTGTTTAGCAGATCTCTAGAATGTTTTTATCTTTATTAACTGAAATGCTATGCCTGTTGCTTAGACCATCAGATTTTAAATAATAAGAGAAAGATTAACTTTCTACTCTGGAGGAAAATATTAGATCATCCTCCACACATTAGATTATCTCCTGGTTCTGGGTAGAAAAAGCACTTAAATAACAAATCATTCTTTGAAAAATTTTTTTTCTATATCTAGAGAAAAGCAAGTTTTTAAATAAACAAAGGAACTCGTGCCTCCCTCTCCTTGCCCAGCTCCTGAGAATGGCTTTCCTAAGTAAATCCAATGGTGACTCACAGCACTGAGCAGCAACAGCCCGTACCCACATGCAGAGTAAAAATGTCTACTCCCATTACTCAGTGTGTCTGAGAATCATATAAAGGGCTTATACAAGTCAGCCAAAAGCTTGGGATGTAGCCAAATAAAAGACTTACTTAAAAAGCTGGTCTTGGCATTTCAAGTTTGGATTTTTGGGGAAAAAAAAAACCACTTCTCTGGGGAAAATCTAAAAAGTTGCTAATATTGTTATATTGGTTTACTCTGCTTGGCAAGATTTAAATGCTTCCAGAAAGAACACATTTCATTAGGAAGATCTTAAGAGTTCTTTAACAAAGCTTTTCCTATACAGTAAATTCAAATAAAACAGGTATTGCTTTCTCTGTGAACTAGGAAATTGTATTTGTTTAAACTAAGGAAATCCTCAAGATAGAATTTAAAACATTTATATAATGATGTTCTATGAATGTATAACTTGAAAAGTGATGTTATTATGTACCAAAAAGCCTTCTTAAATCAAAATCACTTATATGTAAATGAAGAATTTTTCACCAAATATAATTTTAATGTCTTCTCCTAGCAACAGTGACTTTGATTCTGAAGTTGCCAATGGAGGGTACACCAGAGTTCTGAGATATATGTACAAGGCTCTGAAAGTCAATTTCTAAGGTACTTTTATTCTTATCATAAAATTCCGTTTAAAACATAAGTAATGTAAAATAATTTTTTATCCAAATGAATGAAGTAAAGAGAAAATATCCTGTATCACTTAGCTCTGCTTGCTTCCTGAAACAATATTATTGTTTCTTTTTTAAATCTCTCATATACTTTCTCATGCATTGACTAACCCTATAAAACCAAAACAACAAGCATCTATTTTCTCATTTTTTTTTTTTTTACAACTCTTAATTTCTTGTTCTAATGAAATGTGCCTGGAATAAACCAAACCTCTGGTTTTACTGAAACTCATCAACTTGAACAGATGTACAATGCCTGAATATGTGCATTTCAGGTTTAAAAAAATATGACTCTTTTAAAAAATACAACATCTAAATTAGGGAGATTATAAAATCAAATCATACAATTTATCTTTCTCAGACTGTACAATCTTGCTAGATTCATTTAGAAGCTGGATGTGTAGTTCGGTATCTCTATTGGTTCATGATGCTGTGATTTTTTTTTTCCTCCACAAAAATTATAATAAAAATAATTAGAAAAGTAACAAATACTTATTGCAAAATATTTAACAAACACAGAAAAGCATATAGGAGAAAAAAAGGCCTACTCCACCACCTGTCCTGAACTTCTGTTTCAATATAGTTTAGGAGTGAAATAAATTGAAAAGTTCAAAATCCCCTGGTCATCTCACAAAACTGGAGGCCCCACAAATGACAGTCTGTGTCCTAACTGCCTTCTAAGGCACAGCTATATCAAGCCATGTTCATTTCTCAATTTTTAAGCTCAAAGCTAAACTGTGCTCTTTTAGAATGCCACACAATTACTCTTTCTCTTCTCTCTTATTTATTTTATTTTTTTCTTATTTACAGCACTGGGGATCGAACCCAGGGCCTCAGGCATGCTAGGCAAGTGTTCTACTACTGAGCTATACCCTCAACCTCTGCTCCTTCCTGTCTACAAAAGTTATTCTCCTCTAGAAGGCCACATTCTGAGTTCATCCAAATTTATTACATTAATTTCTTCATGAATTAATGGAAATTGACTCTAAAACATGATATTTAATCCAAATGGAACATTCTGCTAGGATTATTTATTTTAAGCCATGATCTTATCTGACTGGCCAGATATGATTTTTTCATCAATTCACTTTCATTTACACCCAACCTCTGGAATTCTAGTAAAATTTATACTTTAGGACACAAGCCACATGCTGCTTTTGTCCGAAAAAATATCTAAGTTACTTTTCTACTGAAAACTCAGTGTGGAAAGTCTGCAGCATGCCTTTCTTCTCGCTGCTAGATCAGCTCCACTTTTTTTTTTAAGGCAGTCTTGTAAGACAGGCCAAGATGTTTATGAATTTCATCTGATATTCATATAGTACAGAGGCCAAAATGCTTCTGAATTTCATTTTGAGAGTCAGAGTGCTAGTTTTCAAATAGTAGTGGTAGCAAATATTTTACTCCAATCAATGTATTTTAAAATATATAGGTGTGTGTGTGTATGCGCGCGCGCATGTATCAGAAAAGTAAGGGTTTGCCTGGATGCTGGTTGAGGCCAGCTCAAGCAGGGTGGCATGAAGCACTGGGAGTGTGTCCCTCATTTCTCCTCCCCTCCCCCTGCATCTATAACTTTATTTTACAGCCTCACTCTTACGATAAGACTCAACTGTTGCTGCTACTACCCAAGACCCATCTCTGCACAGAGCCTGGTAGTCAACAGTCTTCCCTTCCTGTGGATTTTGCTTCTGCTTGTCCCTCTCTCCTGAATTACCACTCACTCCTTCATACTGGATCCTATCTCTGGAACTTCTCAAACTATGGCTGGAGGAGCAGACTTGTTTTTGTTTTTCCAACCTCACTGATACCTTTAAAAAATAATAAAAAACAAGCAGTAGAAAAATGGTTCTTTGCTTGCATGTCTCAGCAATGCCAAAATGCTATAAAAATTTCAATTTCCAGCCTATCACTTTCTGTACTGTTACAAACATTTTGCTGCTCATAGAGCACAGTGACAACAGCTTTGCAACACTAATCTCTTCTTGAGAAAGCTTTCCTCCTCCTGTGTCTCAGATTCACTCATCAGCAATACTTCCTGGGAAATCTGTCATCAGATACCACCTCCTTTTCCTTGCCCATCTCTAACTCCTTCCTAAACCCACCCCAGCTGGGATTCCCTCCCCTCACCTCTACTGAATCCACTTATACTAAGGTTCCCATGACTAATACACTGCTAAATCCAGAGGTTATAATCAGCTAGCACATCTGTCCCTGGTATTAAAGTGGCAAATATGTCCAGTCACCTTCCTCCTCTTTCTGTTCTTTCTCTAGGCAATCTCATCAAATTCCATTCATTAGTCAAAAAGTCCTGATCTCTCCCCTGAGTTTTCAGACTGACACACCCAATCTCCACTTAGTCCTAATAAGCATCTCAAATATAACATGCTTCAAACAGAACACTGATCCAACTTCAACCCTTAGATTTTTCCCTTGGCAAAAACTGACTGGCATTCAATTAGCTCAGTAAAAACCTAAGAATTATCCTGATTCTTCTCATTCTTCCATGTCCACATTATCCCTCTGTAAACCTTATCCACTGTACCTCCAATTATACCTTCTATCTTCCCATTTTCCCCATCTCATCCAGTCATCACCATCTCTTACTTGGGACTTTATTACCTTAGCCTCCCAAATCCCCTTTTTCATCCTTGACTCCTAGACTATTCTCCATACACAAAGATATCTCAAAAATATAAAAGAGATTATCTCTCTCCTGTTTAAAATCTTTTTAACAGCTTTCCAAAACTCCCAGACTCCTGACCTGACCTGAAAGTCTTCCTTCTCAGCTTCTACTGGCCGCTCCAAGTTCATCTAATTTTACTCCCTCCTCCTTGTTTCTGCTCTTGACCTGGAGTTTTTCCACTTGCTGCTTTCTCTGACGAAATGTCTCTCTCCCTCTTCCAGAACACAGGCTGCATGCACAAAAGGGAGCCTCAGCTTTTTAGCTGCAGGACCCAGATGAGTATACAACACAATAGATGCCCAAGAAATACAATGATGACTGGGGGGATTATGACAGTGAGTTTGAATCCTCTGAGATACATGCACATACACATGAGCCCTGGAGGTGCAATTTTAAGTACATTTTAAAGAAATAACTACTGAAAAACGCAGATATTCTTTAACATTTTCTCTAACTAAATGGATCTTAATTAAATGCTACCATCACTAACTGAAATAAACCAAGTCAATTAAAAAACAAACAAGAAGAAACCCAAAATGTGAGGCACTGCAGCACCCAGGTTCACAGACTGAAACTGAGAAGTCAGAGGGAAAAAGCACTTAGCCCCAGCTGTGGAGTCAGACCTCATGTGGTATCTCACTTCACCTGAGGGACTTGGTAAGACATCTGTCACTTCCTCTGATCCCTCCCACAAACTTTGTTTATATTTTACTTTATTGCAGACTCCTTTTTCTTTCTTTCTTTTTTTACCTCTACTCCAGAAAATAATTACTAAGATCTTATTTGACCATATTAATTCAGATTTTCTTGCCCTTAATCCTGCTCCCTTAAATCCAGATCTAGTTTTGATTTTCTTTTCCCCCCTCAGCTAGTAATATTGCTAAGCTCTGAGCCTACTCTCTGCTTCCACTATGGGACTTGCAGTACAAGATCCTTTTCTGGTATTCTTCTTTTAAATACTCAGTTAACCTAGATATCACTCTAACAGGAGCAACTAACATGAACGGCTCTCTACATCAAGGTCCATACTTGGGCTTTGGACATATAACTTGTTATGAGGAGGTAAACATGAAAACAAGCTTGCCTTCTCAAGGGCTTCTAAGAGTTACTTCAAATGTTCTGACATTAATCCTCTAACACATCCAGTTAGCCTGTGAATGGAATCTGATCACTTGAGTAAAAATGAAAAACATGTTATGTTTCAAGAAATATACGAATTCTTTTCAGCTTACTATGTTTTTAAAGAGGTTGCATTAGTACTGTGTAGAGGACCAAGAACTCAGGAGACCTAAATCTTATTGCTGTTACTAATGCCTTCTCTGAGTTTAATTTGAGTTATTTTTTCTTTTGAAGAACCACATTTCTAATCTATGAAATTAACAAGGTGGTGTAAACTAGAGCACAGTCCACGAAATCTTGAGTGTTGTCGCTTAGCCCATGTCAAGGGATCCAGGTCCATATCATACAAAGATTGCCACTGCCTCTCCAGTACAGGAAGGATGCTAAAGCTACAGTGGCTAACAGAGCAGGTGCTTTAGCAACTCAAGGCAGTACACCAGAGTATGCTAATGGTCACTGCAATCTTTGCTGCCATGCATTTGCAGTTAAAAAAAATGCCTATTAATTTTATTAAATCTTGAGTGCTCTAATACTCTGGGTAACAAAATGAAGCATTTGGAAATTAATAAAAGGAAACTAAAAAATCCAACTAAAACTTTAATTCATTCTGCAGAGATGAGAAGGTAGGAAGTGAATAATGAGAACAGAATGTAATTGTATTAATAGTGTAGAATACACTATGTCACAACATGTCACTAAAGAATACTACATGAAATTTGCTAAGTAACAAGATTATCTTTAAAAAAATTCAATGTCATGTTTTAGTAGTACTTGAAATTATTGATTTTAGTGGTGACAATGATAATATAGTTGTGATTCATTTTTTCATTTGTCGGAATTTCCCCTATTTACATAAAAATCGTATAATCTTTACTATAAATAGTAAAAAAGCTTATAAGTAGAAAATGCATAATTTTATTAAATATTTAAAAAATCATGATAAAGTTCCATAAAAACACCATCAGGGAAGAATAGGACAGTATCCTCCTATTTAGGAAGAGGTTTTCTTTGGTAGATTGAGAAGAAAGGACATTTAGAAGGTTATATAATAGAAAGGCATAGAGAGTAAAATTAACATTACTATTTTGCTTAAATAAGATGAATCTTACTTTTGAGTCCAAAGTGGCACTTAGAACACTATGTTTATTTTATGACCATGTCTTTCATCTAAGATTATTTTTTTTAAAAAAAAACAACTAACACATCCATATGGTTCCAAAATCAAAAAGTATGAACTATCTTCCTGCATACCCCCTGCCCAGGCCCTCTTCCCCACTGCTTTGTGAATGTCTTGTTTACCTTTTGGGAGATTTTTAACTCATATAAGCATTATTTAAACCATTAACAATACTAATTTAACATTTAATAACTGTTGTAATATTTATTATTAATGTGATATTTAACATCATTATTTACTAATATTTAACATGAAGCAATCTTAATTGAATCTAACATATCAGTAGGACTCAATGTATTTAATAACATTAATTTTAGTCCATTTTATATGTTTAGAACTTTTTTTTTGAATCTATACATAGAGCCTTTCTTGGCTACAGTCGCGGAGAAGTCCACTGTATGGCTCTTCTCAGATTTACTGACCTGGTCTCCTACTAAAGGACTTTACAGTTGTTTCTAGTTTTTAGCTATTAAACAATGTTTTTTTTTTTTTTTTTAAATGAGAGGAAGCATCTATTTACAATAAATAAAAAATCACAACAAACTATAAATTTAAAATATTATAAATACCACAAAATCCAAATGAATAGCATATTCATATTTTTAAATTAATTAATTCCTTGAAACATTTCCATGGTGCTTTTTAAGTAATGCTTTGAGCAAGAACTCTGTACAAAGTCATTTTGCATTTATGTACTGATATCTCTGAGCTGGATCTCGAGAAAGAGAAGAGCATTATAAAGACAGGAGCTGAGTCAACATATGTAAGTATTTCATATTTTTCATAGTCATTTCTAAATCACTATCCCACAGAGGTTATATCAATTTATGGCAGGTAAAAGAGTGTCTATTTCCTCAAATCCTTGACAAAACCTTCTAGATTTGTTCTAATCTGGTAATTAAAAAATATTATCTCTGTGTGATTTTCTCACATTTCCTTTTTTAAAAAGTGAAGTTCAATGTACTTTCTTATTTCTAAGACATATTTCCTTTCCCCTGTCTGGTTCCTTGCTGATTAACCTATTCATCTATAGGTCTTTTCTTAGTGATTTCTAGGAGGATCTCACATGTTTGAGACCCTTTGTAATATGAATTGTAAATATTTCCCCATTTATCTTTTTTTTTACTTTTATTATATTTTGGCCATACAGAAATTTATCTATCTAAAGCCCAACATTTATTAATCATTTCTTTTGTGCTTTGTGGGTTCTGTTTAAGAATTAGAAAGTTCTTCCTAACTTGAAGTTAAATAATAATTCCTCATGTTTTCTTCTAATACTTTGAACTTTTTAGAAAAATACTTTGAATCTTTAATTTGAAATTTGATAGCATTAGATGCTGAAACACTTTTCCCCCAGGTGGCTAATTTATTGCATTTTTGCCACTAATTTTTAATTTGATGAACAGAAGGAAGAGTAGTATTACTCCCAAATTTTGAGAGAATTTTTAAAGGAAGCAGACAATTTTATTTTAGATTTTTATTTCCCTTTTGTTTAAAAGATCTGACATAGGTGGTCCAGGTTAGGAATGCACTCCATGATGTTACAGAAAATAGGGTAAAAGAGCTGGGGCATTTCTTTCCAGTCCATTTCTCTTTCATGTACATGTTTATCCACGTATATGTGTGTACATATGCTTTTTAAACTCATTTTAGTGTATTTCTTATTTAATAATCATTCAATGGCTACATGGTATTTTGCATTTAAAGGTACCCTACTGTAACCATTCTCATCCAACACTGGAGTATCAATTTATTTCTAGATTTTTATTAGTATATGCAATGCTGTGTGGATATCTTTGTAGTTAAATTTTTATTCATATTCCTTAATTATTTGTGCATAAAAACTTGATAGTGATAGAATTACTGGGCCAGTAGGTCTGATAGTTTTAAATTACTGGTAACACTGCACAATTCACAGAGCCAAATGCTATGTCATTTCCATACAAGGCTTTACAGTGCTATGTTTACACTTTCCAATTAACAGGTAATCAAGTATTATACTAATAATTTATTTGGCATTTTAAAAATTTCAAATATATTTACTAGTTATTTATATTCCTTCATTTCCTTCTCTCCTTCCTTCTTTTCTTCTTCTTTTTTTTTAATACCAGGAATTTAACCCAGGGGTGCTTAACCACTGAGACACATTCCCACCCCTTTTTATTTTTTTTTGAGACAGGGTCTCATTAAGTTACTGAGGCTGGCCTTGAATGTGCAGTCTTCCTAGCTCTGCCTCCCAAGTCACTGGGATTACAGGTGTGTGTCACTGTGCCTGGATATATTTCTTCTTTTGAGAACTACATGTTTTGCTCATTGTCCATTTTTTCAGGTTAGTGAATGGCAGTTAATATATTATAGTCACCAGTCCTTTGTCTACTTGATTTGTTGCCTAAATTGTCCCCTAGTTTAAATGCTTTTCAATTTCCTGACATTCACAAAGAAGTTGTGTAGCAAAATCTATGTTTTCATTCCAAAAACATGAATTCAGCTAAATTTTGTTCTAGGACTTTTGTTCTTTCATTTTCACATTTAAATGATTACTCTTTTTAATATTTATTTTGGCATAGGGTATGACATCAGTATCTAGCAAACATTTTGAGATTTGTTTCATCATTATTTAAGAATTTAACTCTTTGGGGCTGGGGATGTGGCTCAAGCCGTAGCACTTTCGCCTGGCATGCATGCGGCCCAGGTTCGATCCTCAGCACCACATACAAAAAAGAAAACAAAAGATGTTGTGTCCGCTGAAAACTAAGAAATAAATATTAAACACACACACTCTCTCTCTCTCTTTTTTAAAAAAAAAGAATTTAACTCTCCACATAGAATGTAAAACCTAACTGTTTGCAACTTATGTTTATTCTTTTCTTTTATTAGCCCAAATTTTGATTTTCTTTGTTTTAAAGTATCAAATCTTGGATTTATTTATCAATTCTATTCATTAATTGAGGACTTTCTTTCCTTTTGCTTTCTATTGGTATATTTTTGAACTTGCAATTATGTACTACTAAAACTATTTCTGAGCCCATCCTTAGTTAACCAGGTTCTTAATTCTTTTATTATTGTCATTAAAAAAAAACCTTTCTGAAATGAAATGTACCTTTATCTTCATTTATTTTCTTATATTTTAATAATAAAAATATTTAAGTTTTATGTTTTTCTAGAAGACAAGTGAGATCTTGGCTATATCATGTTGACTTTTGCTATAAAGTGTTCCCACAGCTTTTTCTAAAAGGCCTAGAATTGAAATTTTGACCCAAGTATTACTTAGAAAGTTTAAATATATTCATGTTAGCTTTCAAAAGTGGTTGGCTTAAAATTTTTTTATTCTCATTAATACCTATTTTTATTGCACTGAGATCTGACAATGTGGCATTTATAATTTCTTTTTTACATTTTTAAAATTTTTTAAATCTTTAAAAGAACTAAATAGGAATACGTTTTATATTATCCTAACTTCTTCCCCCTCAACATCATCAAACACTACTGTGTTGGATGTTCTAGTCACATATCAAAATATTCAAGTAAAGGGAAAATGCAAAATAACACTTTAATTAGAAAAGAAAGATATTACCTGAAACATATCTGTGTCTTTATCATGTGTGTATTCAACCACCACAGTCTGATTTCTCGACAAAGTGTAGGATATGCTGTGTTGACCTTTGCAGCTGATAGCCTGATCATGAAATAAACAAACAAACAAATAAATAAAACACTTATCAAAAGTTCATTTTAACAAATTATTACAATCTGTTTCTGGTTAGGATTCATTACTTTATCAAGAAACCTAGCACAGGACAGCATTTTCTTCATAGTCAAAGAGTCTATCCCTGTGCTCTGTCCCCTGGATCACAGAGGAGCCAATAGTTACAATTCTAGTTTTTTCATATATCCTGATGTGAACAATATCTTATTTAAATCAAATCAAAGCTATTTTACTAGCTTGCACAACTTGATTTAACATTTCCAGAGAAACAAAGTTTCTCCATTTATATAAACTCAATGACAGAATTTTTAAACTGAATATAGTGATTTATTTAAAATTTTAAAATGTATTTCACACAATAGGTAAGTCAATAACATTATGTTATGTTATTTTTCCTAGGTTACAGAGATTATAAGCACAGTATTATAAGCACTGATTATAAGCACTGAAAAAAATTGTCAATGCTCTGTAAGGATTTCTACATAATAATACACATGTGCTAATGACAGCCACATCAATATATTTAATGAGTTGATAAATAAGGTAGTTAACTTGTCTTTTTTTCTGTTTTAGACTAAGAACAATTAATATTCTTATTCAAATAACATAGAAATAGTGAGATAAGATATTGCTCTTATTTTCTCCATAATGATATATTTAAACACATCTTAAATTGCGGTCATATACTTTTAATATTTCTAAATTAAGAAAGGTATTGATTTAAATTGTACTTCCAAGTTATTTCAATTACATTTCTCCATTACTTTTAACTTAATCTATCTTCATTTCTACTCTTTTAAGTATAATAAAACTTTAATAAGCCTTTCTATTAAATATTTATTCAATGATGACATTGTGTGAAATCCAGAAAACATATGGAAGTAGTTGGACATATACAGCATGTTAATGAAAATGTACTCTGTGAACATTTATATTTGACTACTATAATTGCCTAGAGCAATAAATAGTACAACATTCCAAATCATCTTTGAAGTGAACCTGGTTAATCTCATGGTTATTTAATCACTTGCCCTAAGGAACTTTGTGATTGAATTGATATTTTATTTTACATGTTATTATGAAAATAAAAGTATTAAAGATAATACAGATCTTTAATAAGTTCAGAAATCTGAAAAATAGTTCTTAAACTATTTAACTTTATTAACAAATAAAATCTTCTAAATTTTCATTGATCTGAAACAGATAAATTCCATAGTGCTGGTGTAACACTGTCTGAAAGCCAAATTTATAAAGAACTATTTTCAATGTGACATAGGTGGACGTGGTAGACATATAATTTAACTGGATTGTGGAAATCATTTTATAATGTATACATATATCAAATCATCATGTTAGGTACCTTGCAATATACAATTTTCAGTTATATCTCAGTAAAGCTGGGGAAGACTGCTAAACTATAATATGAAGATTTGGGGAAGATGGGAAAATGAGAGAAGAGAGACACAAGCCCTAAGTAGTGGTGAGTGGCTCTGAGGCAACACATATAATGCAAGCCTTGTAGGGGGCTGGCTGGTGTACTTTGAGTCGGTGACATCCACCTGGAAGTCCCTTCCAGTTCTGGCAGGGATTTCTCTGAGGCAATGCCAGAGAGGAGTCCTGCCTATTCAGAAGCCCACATACCAGCTGCACCTGCATGGTGCAGAGTATGGTGATGAGTTAGCCTGAGAAGACTGAGACTTAATTCAGAACTGGAATTTAGAGCAAAAGGTGGCAGTCAAAACTAGGGAAACAAAGGCCACCACTAAGATCCTCAGAAGTGGATGGAGAGATGCAGATTTCCCTGATTACATGAATTAGGGCTTGCATGATCTTGTCTGTGTATATTAAACACTAGGGTGGGGTCAGATTTAGGTGGCTGGGGGAAAGTGTAGGAGCTATCTAGCTAGAGATCAATTTTCACTTTCTTTCTTGGGTTCTGTCTTATACAGTGGTCTACAAGTACATAAAGCATTCATCCCCCCCCCTTCTTTTACTAGAAGTATCAATTTTTTAACACTTAAAATACGACTTCCTGGTAGGGAAGGCCTCATGAAAATTGGAAGAGATAGTAGAGGAAACCAAGCAGGGGGAAAGAAAAGGGGAGGGAAAGGGGAAATATTGAGGAACGATACTGGCCAAATTATATTGTTATGTTGGGTCCATGTATGAATAATGTAACAACAAATCCCACCATTATGTACAGTTATAATATACTAATCAGAAATATGGTAATGAAAAAAAAATCACTTTTAGAAATAGATTTCACTGACGTGAGTCAATTGTTTCAGGTATTTTGGAAATAAAAATTTCTCCAAAACATTTGTTTCGAAATCTATTTCTGAAATATCAGAAAGGAGGGTAGGTAGACAGGCCTTCTTTTGACATTCACTGTAATTCAGTTCAAGCACAATTTCTGTAACATAATGTTATGATCTTCCTACAAGCTTACTTTGAAAACTCAGCCTTTTAACATCATGAAGAAAATGGGCCCTAGCAGCATGTGGGATAGACATAGACACCAATTCTCTCAAGCAGCTGTACAGAGAAGGCGGCAACCTTCCCCACTCTCCCATACCAGGCCCTTTTGGATCAAGGTGTTTTCTCTTAGTTGAGGATCTGGATTTTCTCAGTTCTATGCTACTGTGTTACTGACTCGGCTCAGTTCAGCCAGCCTTTGCCATTCAGGAATGAGAATAGTTAAAATTGGTGTCCTGGTCCAGCTTACAACTAAAAAAGGTCAGGGAGTTCTCTAAGTCTCCAGACTCTAAATCAAGCATGCTCCTGCCTAGAGTCCTTCCTTATGTAAACCTATATGCACACAAAGGCACTTAGAGGGGTATGAAGTAAGTAATGACAGCAGGAGGGCAATCCTACAAGATATCACCAGGAAACCCATCTTCATGGCAGCCAAAGAGCTTTCATTCAAATTTTAAAGTATGTAGGAAAATTAATTCTTTTATTTGTTAAGAGGAAATGGGAGTAGCTCTCAAACACAAAGTAAACAAGAGAAAGTCAATAGAGAAATTAACTGGTTTCTAGAAAATATTAATTTTTATAGTTAGGACTTTGCCCATTTGGGGTAGGGGGCATATGACCCCGTGGCAGCCAGGCTGGTGCCACTTGATGCCTTTCTCCTCGCTTCCCTGGGAAAGCCTGACCAATTCTAACCTAGCTCTCCCAGAGGCTAGCCCATGAACATGTAGCTGTATTCTGGCCAGTGTGACTCAACAGAAATCTGTTGTCAGGTTCCTGGGGATGAAAGACATCAGAAGAGACTCTTTCTTTCTCTGTCATTACTATAATGATATGGTGATGAAGCTGAGGTGGTTATCTTGCAACATAAGAGGGGTATCAAAAGACTCTGAAGAGAAGTTGACTGATAGTATGTCAAAAGACTCAGAAAAGGTGACTGACAGCATGATATCTTTGAGATGCTGAGCCAAACCTAGAACTACCTATCCCCAGTCTTCTAATAGAAATGTGTATTTTAGGCTGATTTTGGTTGGGCACTTTGCATTTTGTTACCTGTAGTCTAAAGTATCCTGACACTTTGGTCAAACACCCTTCTCCTCTTGGGTTTCCTATTAGTCTACAGCACTGCCAGATTCCCAATCCCTCATTCCAAAAACTTTCTCCCACCTATGAGCTCCCTCTTGCCATTCCATAATAATTAATCAACAGGGAGTCAAAGCCAGGCTCACTGATTTCAGGCTATTAAGGCAAAACTCAAACACAAAGCAGAGCAAACAATGTATAACATTTTACTTTTTCTCCTCGAATACAAAGTAGTTCTTGGGCAACCAGTACTTATAAAACTCCTTCAGGGGATGAATGTTTTGTATCAGTTCCTATTTATGGCCCATAACTTTCTGCTCTTTAGACAAGGAGGTGCAATCTAATTTGTCTTCCTCTCAATCTGTCTGCCTTAGGAACTTGCCTAAACCACAAAATGCTATGGAAGTGACACCTGGAACTTTTGTGGCTGGGTATGGAAAAGCCCTCAGCACCCACATGAGTTCTCACTGCAGTTAGGAAGTCTGACTTGGATAAACTGCCCTGTGGGGAGAAGGAGGCCAAGGAGCACCAGGATGCAGACATGCAAGTGGGAAGCCACTTTGGGACTCCCTTCCAGCTGCCCCAGCACTCAGCAGGCAGACTAGCGACAGCCTTGACCCACAAAATAATAAACAATGGAATGATTTCTGTAAAGTCACCAAATTTGGGAATAATTTGCCACACAGAGACAAATGGAACAACCAGTTTTCAAGGTGACTCAGTGCCAGACCATTTTTTTTCCCTATCTCTGTGACTCATCACAGAAGACATTATGACTTTTTGTGTACAGCTTACCTACACCCAAGGGTGAGGGCTAGGGTATCTACTACAGTGGGCAGCAGAGTCTTCCCACAGAGCAGAGGGATGCTACCGAGAGAAGTATTGTGGGCTCCTGAAAGTGGTAAGATTGTCTACAGTTAGAACAAATATAAGTTTGTATTGTAGTACTCCTCAGTTGTTAGAAGACTTAAGAAAAATTTGCATCACTATCTAAACTTAATATTTATATATCAGTATGTATAAAAGAAATTTATCTGTAAGGCATTCTTTTAAAGCATTGTCAGAGGAGGCAAAAGCCACCAACCATGTCACATGGGAGATTTTTTAGTCCTTACACATTTGGAGCAGGAATAGAGGGGACACCAAGAAAGCAGAAGAAAATAACTGCTTATTTTAGAAATGATGACGCCAAACTTTGGCAAACTCCATGCATTATGAATACTAAAAGGGTATGTTCTCTAAACCACAGTCTGCCTCATTTAAGGGAATGGAATGTGTGTGTGTGTGTATGTGTGTGTGTGTGTGTGTGTGTGACAGAGAGAGACAGAGAGAGAGAGAGAGAGAGAGAGAGAGAGAGAGAGAGAGAGAGAGAGAGAGATTCGAATGAAGATAAATGAAATTCTTTTTCTTCAGAA